GGTCCTTGCGCTTGCAAGGCAAGCGACGGAACCACTGAGCTAAATCCCTGGCCTTTTTTTTTTGGTACTGGGGCTCGAACTCAGGTCCTTGTGCTTGCACAGCGGGCAGCGAAACCACTGAGCTAAATCCCCGGCCCCTAATGTGTAATATTCTTAATGTTGAAGATGATTATTTTCTGATTTCAGACAGAAGACCCCAGTAAGTGCAGCCCTCGGTTTTGGGAAGAGCTCTTCCTCATGAAAGTAAGACATGGTGGTACCTGTGGGTTATTTTGGTAACTAAGATTGCCAGCTATAGCTTGTGTTCCAGATGCTAGACTAAAAATGTGCTCAGACCCATATTGTCTCATTGGCAGGTGAATTTAGAGTACCTAGAAGGCAAGCTGGAATCTCTTGATGGTGAGGAGTTAATGAAGATCAAGGACAATATTAATTGCTTATTTCAACACTGCATTCAGGCTCTGGGAGAAGAGCATCCGATTCGAGTTGTGAATGCATTGCAGGTATAAGGCTGGGAGACTGGGGGAATCTTGTTTAGCAGGACAAAAGGAATTGTAACCCATCTTTTGGAATCTGAGGAACATAGACTTGCCCTTAGGTATCAGGTTTTCTTTTCTTTTTTTTTTTTGGAACCGGGGATCGAACTCGGGACCTTTCGCTTGTGAGGCAGATGGCAGAACCACTGAGCTAAATCCCTGGCCCTCATCTTTCTTTTTAAACCAATTAATGATTATAGTGGTAATCTTGTCCGTTTGTATAATTCTTTTTTTTTTTTTTTTTTGGTACCGGAGATCGAACTCCGGACCTTGCGCTTGTGAGGCAGGCGCTGGAACCACTGAGCTAAATCCCTGGCCCGTGTATAATTCTGTCTAGTATCATTTGTTATGAGGATGTAGCTCAGTGGTGGAGCACTTCCCTGGCATATGCCAGGCCCTGGGTTTGATCCCTCACACTGCGTGTGGCACTGTGTCCAGCTTAGTTTTTTCATCTCTCATCTTTTTTTTTTTGTGCTGGGGATTGAACCAGGGCCTTTGTACTAAGCTACATCTCTAGTCCTTTTTTATTTTTTACTTTGAGACAGGATCTTGCTAAGTTGCCCAGGCTGGGCTTGAGATTCTCCTGTTTCAGCCTACCAGAGTGCTGGGATTACAGGCCTGCATCCTGATGTCCAGCATAATTATTACCTCTTGGGTTGATGCCCCAGAAAGATGGTTTGTGTTTATTCTATAGCTTTGTTTACCTTTGGCACAATGTATTCCATATTTTGAGTTGTAGAGTAGGAATTCAATGAAAGTTGAAATGAAAGTTGGAATTATACTTTCATTAATTACAGTGACTCATTGAGGGGGCATGAGTTGTATATTTTATTTCATTGGAAATAAGTTGATCTTAAGTTACTTGATGACCCCTAAATATATAGTACATTATTACGATAGCTAATAGTTGTTGAGCTTTAATAAAGATACAGGGACTGTTCCAAATGCTTCAGGATATTCACATAGTTTCACAACTATCTATACAGTGGATGCTATTATTATCATTCCTGCATTATAGATGAGAAAGTCAACGTGTTCAGGCTCTCAAAGCTAGTAAGTAGTATATGGGGATGGGAAACAGTGGTTAAGATTTGAAGCAATTGGTTATTATCATCTAGGGACTTACATGTTATAGTTACTAAAAAATAATTACTAAGATGGTTAAACTACAATGTAAATGTGAAAATTAATTGTTATTATTTCTTTTTGTGGCACTGAGGATTGAATGGCTCTCAGGGCCTTTGTATTGAGCTACATCCCCAGCCCCTTTGAAAAAATATTTGATTTTGAGATAGGCTCTCAACTAAGTTGCTCAGGTTGGGCTCTAAGAGTTCTGGGATTACAAGTGTATGCCACCATGCTAATTTTTTTTTTTTTTGGTACCAGGGATCGAACTCGGGTCCTTGCGCTTGGGAGGGAGGCAGTGGAACCACTGAGCTAAATCCCTGGCCCCACCATGCTAATTTTATTCTTTTTTTATTTTTATTTTTACCCCATGCTAATTTTAACTAAAGAAAAGCTCTACCAATCTCAAGAACTATTTTTTGTTTGTTTATTTAGGTGGTTTTTTTTTCCCTCCAAGTATCAGGGATCGAACTCAGGACCTTGTGCTTGCGAGGCAGGCATGGTGCCACTGAGCTAAATCCTCAGCTATTTAGGTTTTTTCATTTTTTTGTTTTTGTTTGTTTTTGGTACCGGGGGTCGAACTCCAGACCTTGCGCTTGCACAGCAGCAGGAACCACTGAGCTAAATCCTCAGCCCTGTTTAGGTTTTTTGAATCAGGGTCTTGCTGTACAGTTCAGGCTGGCCCGGAACTCCTTGCAGTCCTCCTCCTCCGCCTCTGGATTGCTGGGATTACAGGCCCACCATCTGGATTTTTTTTGAATATCATCTTTTAGTCTCTGTCTGCAGTGCAATTTTTAAAGAGGATGGCAAAATAAAAATGAAAATGACAGTAGTTGCAGTTACTGTCCCTCTTTTACTTTCTGGATTTTTTTTTTTTTTTTTTTTGTACTGGGGATTGAACTCAGGTCCTTGCGCTTGTGCAGCAGGCGGCAAAACCACTGAGCTAAATCCCTGGCTACTTTCTGGATTTTGTACATGCTGAGCCTCAGACTGTTTTGAATCTCATCATAATAGACATGCTGAAGATGAGCTATGTAGGGAGGAGATACTGAGGATGCAATGTGAGGCCCCAGATCTAATACCCTTCCAGTTTTGAGATTTTTCTCTAGAAAAAAATTCTTTCTGTCTCTCTCTTTTTTTTTTTTTTTAATTTTGTGAGACAGGATCTTGCTATATAGTTCAGCCTGGCCTTGAACTCACTATGCAGCCCAGGCTGGGCTTGAACTTTTGGCAGTCCTCCTGCCTCAGCTTCCCAAGTGCTGGGATTACAGGCATGTGCCACCGTGCCCAGCTAAGCTTTCTTTTTCTTACCTCTGCAGACCTTGTGTGCGCTTATTCGAGGAGTCCATCAAAAGAATAAGTCTACCTCTGGGTTTGACATCATCAACATGCTGATGGGCTTCGACAAGGCAGAGCTGTGCATGAAGGTGAGGTGGAAGTGCACTGGTGTGCATGGCTGTCCCTGAGAGCCGTCTTGGTGCTATTTGGATTCAGATACTGGTAGATAGATGATTGAATTTGACCTTGAATTTGCATATTTTTATTTAACAGATTTTTTTTGTCTTAATAAAGGAAAAATTTAAATTCATATTTGAATTGAGGCATCTTTTTCCTGCATGTTGAAGACTCAGCAGTTTATTTGTGATGTGATCATACATTCATATGCACATTTACAAAATTCAATAAATATAACAAGTTAATGTAGAAGAATTACTTTTTTTTGTGGTCCTGGGGATTGAACAAGGGCTTTGTACGTACTAGGCTAGCAATCTACCACTAAAATACATCCTCAACCCTATTAGAATTTTATTGTTTAATCCTGGGGATTAAACCCAGGGCCTTCCCATTGAGCCCTTTTTTTGTTTTTTATTTTGAGACACTGTCTCACTGAGTTGTTAAGTTGCCCAGCCTGGGTTTGAAATTGTGATCTTCCTGTCTTAGCCTCCCAGAGTGTTGGCCTCATAGTAGTGCAGGACCACATCATGCTTCTCTCTCTCTTTTTTTTTTTTTGGTACCAGGGATTGAAATCAGGACCTTGCACCTGCAAGGCAGCTGTGGTGCCACTGAGCTAAATCCTCGGCCCCTCTCTCTCTCTTTTGAGATTTATTCTTGTTGTGTTGCCCACACTGTGCTCAAATTCAGGGGCTCAAGTGATCCACCCCTCCTCACCCTCCCAGGTTGGTGAAACTATAGGCCTGTGTCACCACACCAGCTCAGAATTTTTTTGGTACTGGGGATCAACTCAGGACCTTGGGCTTGAGAGGCAGGCTGCAGCTCCACTGGGCTAAATCCCTGGCCCAGCTCAGAATTTTTATATCTACCGTTTGGCATTATCTTCTTTTAATAACAGTTTTATAATTCACATGTACATTTTACCCTCTTAAAATGTACAGTGCAGGGCCAGGGATTTAGCTCAGTGGTGCCGCCACCTGCCTCGCAAGCGCAAGGTCCTGAGTTCCATCTCCGGTACCAAAAAAAAAAAAAGTGCAGTATTTTTTTTTTTTTTTTATTTTGGGACAGGGTCTCATTGTATAGTCCTGGCTGGTTTTGAACTTGCTATGTATCCTAGCCTGGCCTTGAACTCTTGATCCTCCTGCCTCAGCCTCCTGAGTATTGCGATTATAGGCAAGGACTATCATGCCTGACTTTCTAGTACTTTTTAGTATATTCTCAGACATGAACAACCATCACTACTGCTAATTTCAGAACTTACTTTCATTGCCTTTGAAAGAAAACCTGTACCCATTAGCAGTTATTCTTATTACCTCTTCTCTACCCTGGAAACCACTAATTTGCTTTGTGTCTGTATGAGTTTACCTATTCTGAGTGCCTTGTATAAATGGAATCATATGTATGGTTTTGTTGTTTCTGGTGTTTACCTAGTGTGATGTTTTCAAAGTTTGTCCAAGTTATAAGATGTACTCTATTAGTATTTCCTTTTTACTGCCAATTAAAGTTCCATTGGATGGCTATACCACATTTTGTTTATCCATTCCTTGTTTGGTGGACATGTTAGATTGTTTCAACATTTTGACTCTGATTAGTAATGCTTCTTTGAACATTTGTGTATGAGGTGTTGTGTGGCTGTTTTCAGTCCTCTTGGGCCTATATGCAGGAGTAGAATCGCTGGGTCGTGTGGTAACTTCATTGTTTTAGTTACTTTCTCACCTTTGAGATACAGTACCCCTGTTTATTTGGGTTTTTATTTTGTATTTTTTTGGTACCAGGGATCAAACTCAGGTCCTTGTGCTTGCACAGCAGGTGTCGGAACCACTGAGCTAAATCCCTGGCCCCAATACCCCTGTTTATTTCGGCTCACAGTTTGTAGAGGTTTCAGTCATAGTCACTGGCTCCAAGGCAGGGCAGCTTTGCAGAGGGAGAAACAGCTCCTGGAGTAGCACCAGGAAGCAGTGTTCAAGGGAAGATGGAGGGAGACAGCCCCTTCCAGGCGCACCCTCAGTGACCCTCCCAAGCCAGGCTTATGCGTTTAGCTGTAAAGTCATTAGGGGACTAACCCACTGGTGAGTGTCACACCCCCGTGAAAGCCCCATCCATGAGCACAATAGATACTGTAACATCTGTATTTAATATTTGAGGAGCTGCCGAGTTATTTTTTTTTGTAGTGACTACTCCCTTTTATAGTTTCACCAGCAATATATAATGGTTCCAAGTTTTCCATACCACATAACAATTGTTTTTGTCTGTCTTTTCCATACCTTTTTTTTTTTCTGGTACTGGGGATTGAACTCAGGACCTTGGGCTTGCAAGGCAGGCACGGTAGCACTGAGCTAAATTCCCCCGGCCCCCTTTAAAAATTTTTTTGAGAAATGTCTGTTAAAATTCTTTTCCCATTTTCTAGATTGGGTTGTCTTCTTATCGTTGAGTTGTAAGAGTTCTGTATATATTCTGGATATAAGTCCATTATCAGATATGTGGTTTGCAGTGTTTGATACTATCTTTTTTTTTTTTTTTTTTTTGGTACTGGGGATTGCACTTGGGACCTTGCGCTTGTGAGGCAGGCGGCTGAAACATTGGTACCAAAAAAAAAAAAAGCAAAAGTTGTGCAGCTCTTTAAATAATAAAGCTGGAAAAAAAAATTATCTTTAGCTTTAACATCTCATCCTGAGTCTCAGAGTTGTGTATTTTGTAAGCATTTCTATGTTTTCACTCACATCGCATAAGTACCTCTTGACATGTCCAAAATGGAATTCATTGTTTCTTCTGCATCTTTTCTTCCCCATTCGCTTCCTTTCAGAATGGGGGCACCTGTCCTGTTGAAGTCCCCCAAGCCAAAACCCCTCAAAAAGTTACCCTTGATATTTTTTTCTCCTGTGTGTGTATGTGTGTGTGTGTGTGGGGGGGTACTTGGGATTGAACCCAGTTATTTTTCTTTGAGACAGAGCCTTGTTAATCACTGAATTGCCCAGGCTGAGCTTGAACTTGTGATCCTCTTTCCTCAGCCTCCCAGAGTGCTGGAATTACAGCTGTATACCACCACATCCAACTAGGTTTCCCTTTTTCAATTTTTCTCATTCTGTAATTTTTTTTTTTTGTGCCTGGGATCTAACTCAGGACCTTGCACTTCCTAGGCAGGTGTGGTGCCACTGAGTTAAATCCTCAGCCTGGTATGGTTTAATGTTTAATTGTTCTCTTTCTCAGAATTTAATGGAGAGTTTGGATTCATTGCTTTGTGCAGAAGGTTCTGAAAGTCTGAAGAGTTTATGCCTGAAACTTCTTCTTTGCCTAGTGACTGTAAGTGACCCATCTCTATTTGTCAAAATACTAACTAATAGCAGGGGCAAGCTGATTCGAATACTTGAGCCCAAGGTTAGAAGGGAAAAGAGTACCCACTTACTGGGGTATCGAATTACCCCTGTGACTGCATGTACAGAAGGAAGTTAGTTGCTTGGGCGGGTTTGGTCTCCTGAAAGTTACCATGGAGCACCTGCTGGCATTCTCAGTCACAGTGATCCTCCTGCCTCAGCCTCCCGAGTGCTGGGATTACAGGCATGTGCCACCACACCAGGCTGAATCTGAATATTTTTATTTGCTCTGACTTTGATTTTATACCTGGAGGCTGGCCTGTACTTCCTACTGGAAGAAATGGGTGGGGTGTTGTTCTTCAGATGGTTGCCTTTCCTTGGTGCCTCTTGAAGACTTCTGGATTCATAAACCTTTTTCTGTGCATTTGAGCAGTGACATGTGAAAAACTGTAAAGCAGATGCTCGTAAGGGTATGAGAGGATAAATCTACAGATGTAGGAAGTCTTCATTAGCTGTTTTCCTGCCGTAGTGTCTGCCTGTGGTGACTCTGGTGACTCTGGGGTGTCTGTTAATGGTGTGCTAAATACCAAACGGACCATTGTGACATTTGTGTTTCATCTAGATCTTTCCTTTTTTTTTTTTTGGTACCAGGGATTGAACTCAGGACCTTATACTTGCAAAGCAGGTGTGGTGCCACTGAGCTAAATCCCCAGCCTGTCATCTAGATGTTAAAGTAGGATATTTATCAGAATACCTCAGTAGAGACTTTAAAAAACCTTGTATTACATTCAGGTGACAGACAATATCAGCCAGAACACTATCCTGGAGTATGTAATGATCAACAGCATATTTGAAGCAATTTTACAGGTGGGTTATGACTTCCTTGTTTTTTGAGTAGACTGTCTTTGTTTTTTTTTTTTTTTTTTGGTACCAGAGATCGAACTCGGGTCCTTGCGCTTGCGGAGCAGACAGCGGAACCACTGAGCTAAATCCCCGGCCAAGTAGACCGTCTTTTCATATCCCCTCCCTCCCTCCTCCCTATTTTCCTCTCTCCCTCCCTTCCTTCTTTCTTTCCTTTCTTCCTTCCTTTCTTTGCAGTACTGGTGAATTAAACCCAGGGTCTTTGGACTGAGCTACATCCCCAGTCCTTTTTATTTTGAGATAGCATCTCTCTAAGCTGGGCTCAAACTTTTGATCCTCCTGCCTTAGCCTTCTAGAGAGCTGGGATTACAGATATTCACTACCACGCCTGGCTCATCTCAGATTTTCTTGGACTGTTTTCTCAGGAACCAGGAGTTAGCCCTGGGGAGTTATGAATTTCTGGTTCTTGTTACAGATACTCTCCCACCCCCCAAGTCGTAGAGAGCATGGGTATGATGCTGTTGTCCTCTTGGCTTTGCTGGTAAACTACAGAAAATATGAGGTAAGTAGGCCCCTTAATGGACACTTGTTATGGTTCTATAATCCTCCTACATGTGGCCATTCCTGAAAGACCTTGCTTAACATTAGAAGACATTTTTTTTTTTTTTTGGTACTGGGGATTGAACTCGGGACCTTGCACTTGCACTGCAGGTGCTGGAACCACTGAGCTAAATCCCTGGCCCTAGAAGACATGTTCATGCCAAATAGCATAAAGATTAATTTTCTTTTAGACGGTCTCACTATGTAGTCCAGGCTGGCCTTGAAGTCACAGTGATCTTTCTGCCTCAGCCTCCGCCTCCTGAGTGCTGGGACTACAGGTGTATGCCAGCATGCCCAGCATAAAGATTAATTTTGATAAACTAATTTCTTCCCTGTGGTGCTGGGATGGAACCTAGGGCCTCTTTGGATGCTGCAAAAGCACTCAACCACTGAATTGTACCCCACTACTTTTATTGTTGTTGGGTTTTTTTTGGTACCGGGGATGGAACTCAGGTCCTTTGTTTTTTGTTTTAGTTTTTTAGAGTTGCATTAATTTCTGCTCTGATATTTATAATATCCTCCTTCATATGAGCTTTGGTCTCGACTTGCTTTTCTTGTTTTAGAAGCTTGAGGTTTAACATTAGGTTGTTTATTTGAACTCACTTTGTTTTTCTGAAATGGGAATTCACTGGTATAAATTTCTCTTTTGGGACTGCTTACATTATGTCCCATAAGTTCCAATATGTTGTATTGGTATTATTGTTTAATTGTATCTAATCTATCTAATTGTATTTTAACTATCTAATTTCTTCTTTAATTTCATCTGTGACCTATTAGTTATTCAGGAGGTTGTTATTTCCACGTGTTTATGAAATTTTGTTGTTTCTTTTGCCATTGATTTCAAATATTGCACAGTGATCTGATAATATGCAAGGGATAATTTCAATTCCTTTGCATTTAGATAAGCATGTTCTATGAGTTAGTATGGGATCTATTTTAGAAAATGTCCTGTGTGCAGCTGAGAGGAATGTGTATTTTGATGTAGGATGGAACATTGTAGATATCTAATAAGTCCATTTGTTGAAAAGTTTGGTTCAGTTCTGATATTTCTTTGTTGATTTTTCGTCTAGTTGATCTGTCTGTTTGTGACAGTGGGGTATTGAGATCATCCATTACAGTTGTATTAGTGGTTATGTGATTTTTCATGTCTGTTAGTATTTGTTTTATATAGTTAGGTGTCCTGGTATTTGGTGCATGTATATTTATGAGTGTTATCTCTTCTTCTTGGATTGTTCCCTTTACAGGAATGTAATTACCTTTTTCTTTTTTTGGTATCGGGGCTCAAACTCAGGATCTTGTGCTTGGGAGGGAGTCACAGTGCCACTGAGCTAAATCCCTGGCCCTGTAATTACCATCTTTGTCTGTCTTAGTTTTGTCTTGACATCTAACTTGTCTGCAAATAGAATAACTACCCCTTTTTTTTTCTAGGTTCCTGTTGCATGAAGTATTATTTTCCATCATTTGACTTTTAGTCTATGAATTTCTGTTTGAATTAAATGTGTTTCTTGTATGCAGCATGTTGTTGGATTTTGCTTCTTGATCCATTCTGCCAGTCTGTTTCTTTTGATTGATGAATTGAAACCATTTACATTGATGGTTACAACTGATATGTATTGACTTGTCCTTGTCATGTTATTATCCTGTTGTTGGTTTTCTTCTTTCCCCTCTCTGTTTAATTTCTTGCCTTGCCTGGTAAATTCATTCTGTTGGGGTTCATGGAGTTGTAGTCCTTGTTATTTCTTGCTAGAATATCCTTCAGAACATTCTGGAGTGCTGGTTTGGTGGTCATGAATTACTTCAGGTGTTCTGTGTCATAGAAATATCTTATTTCTGCATCAATTGTGAAAGACAGTATTGTGCGGTATGTCAATGTGGACTTGAGGTTGTTTTCTTTTAGGGCTTGAAATACTTCACTCCAAGCTCAGGACCTGAGGGTTTGTGTTGAGAAGTCTACTGTGATTCTGATGAGGTTTCCTTTATAGGTGATTTGTTTCTTTTCTCTAACAGCTTTTTTTTTTGGTACCAGGGATTGAACTCGGGTCCTTGTGCTTGCGCAGCAGGCAGTGAAACCACTGAGCTAAATCGCCGGCCCTGTAACAGCTTTTAATATTCTGTTTGGTTCTTTTTTCTTTTCTTTTGTACCAGGGATCAAACTCGGGACCTTGTGCTTGTGAGGCAAGAGGGAGAACCACTGAGCTAAATCTCTGGCCCTTTAATATTCTGTTCTTGTGTAAAATTTCTGAACTCTTGACTATTACATGCTGTGGATGTGAGTTTTTTGTGGTTTTTTTTTTTTTGGTCATGGCTAATTGGAGTTCTGTATGTCTCTATGCCTCAATTATATGTATGTCAAATTCTTTTCCCTACTTGAGAAGTTTTCTGCCATTACTTCTGTGAAAAGGTTTTTTTTTTCTTGGTCCCAGGGATTGAACTCAGGACCTTGCACTTGCAAGGCAGGTGGCAGCCCCACTGAGCTAAATCCCTGGTCCAAGAAATCTTTTCTCTTCATGATCACTAACCACATTCTTGTCATATATATATATATGATACTCTGTCCTTACAATAGCTCATTCTGCTGCATATACTTTCAATGGAATTTTTAATCTTCTGGATAACTGTTTGAACCTGTTTCATGGATTCCTTTTCTTTCCTATGTTGGGCATTCATGGTTTACATCATTTTCCTAAGCTACTCTATTTTTTATCTGTATCTGCTCTAGAGTCACTAACCGTGTCTTTCTTTTTTTTTTTTTGGTACCGGGGATCGAACTCGGGTCCTTGCGCTTACGCAGCAGGCGGTGAAACCACTGAGCTAAATCTCTGGTCCAACCACGTCTTTCATCACGGTCACCATCTCTGTGGTTGTCTGAGAAATTATTTCTGATTTAATTTTTTTTCTAGAGCCTGATTCATTGCTTTATTACTTCCACTGTTGTCACTTCAGAAAGTCCAGGTGGATGGCTTTTGAATTGTTCTATCTCATTGCCCTCTGGGTTTGGCTTTGGTGTGCTAGAAGTCTAGGGTTGAATCTTATTTAAGTGTCTTCTCATTTTAAAAATTTTTTTATTTTAGTTTAATTCCTGGATTGAAGCTTGTAAATTGATTATGACAGGTGGCTTTATTGCTAGTCTTTCGAATCCGAAGGAAGTGACTACCTCTCTGAGATGTCTTCTAGGTCTTAGTTGCTTTTGGGTTTAAAGTCTGTTGCAAGATCCTGCATCTTCAATTTATTGGGAATGTGAAATTGCTGTCTATTTGGCCTCACCCCTGATTCTTTAGCACTGGCCTATAGTATTGTTTATGACCCATAGGCAATCTCAATCTGGGCTTACCAGGAAGAACAACTGATTAGAACAATTATGTCACCTTGGCTAAATTGGTATAATCAGAAATAACAATAGCATCAAACACAGCCTAGAAAATGGCAAACCATAGTCACTATTTATTAGCCACCTTTAACCATATGAACTATTTTTGTGATTAACAAAATCTAAAACAAATCAGAAAATTTTGTGTGGTAAATATGCCCTCATTTTACCCTCAAGGGAGAAAATTTAAAAGGACTAAAGGGTAAAAATAGAGAAATAGAAGAAGAAGAAGAGATTAGAAGCAAGGCTGGAGGACAGTAGAAGATTATGTAAATTTTGGGAAACTGATGAAGAAGACAGGAGGGAAAGAAAGAAGAAAGAAATAAAAACTAGAACAGAACAAAACATCAACAAAAACTAGAAACAGTGTTCACACTTATAGAAAAACAAAGACAATGAAGAAAAAAATAAAACCCAAAACAAAAAATATAAAAGAAGATGAAAAAAAAAAGTCCAATTCAACGCATCTCTCTGCTATCATTGGTAGGCAAAGTGGGCTGACAGAATCCAGATCTGTGTTGATTAACCCCAGCAAACCAGCTGTAGCTTTTTTTTTTCGTGCTGAGAATCGAACTTGGGTCTTTGCGCTTGTGAGGCAGGCACCGGAACCGCTGAGCTAAATTCCCGGCCCAAACCAGCTTTAGCTTTAAGGCAGGGTAGTGGATAATCCCAGCAAGCCTGCACCTTTAATTGTAGAGCTCATGCTGGCTTCTGGCTGTGAGGCTGGAACACATTTTGTTCAGCCTGCAACAGTTCATGTGCTTCCTGCTGGCTTGATCTCAGCTTCCTGACCTCCTTGCTGAGTTGAACTCGGTTCTGCCTCATCCTGATGGAGTCTGCCTGAAACTGATCTGAGTTCTGAGCTCAGTTGGGTGCTCTGCAAGATGGCCAGTCGCCCTCTCCCGGGTGACATCTGAACCTGAATACGTCACCAGCCACTGCAATGGACTGTGCACCGCTCCATCCCACTGGTGTGTTTCTCCGTGGAGGCCTCTGGGGTCCCCAGTAGTCACCCTGTGTCTGGAGGTCCCAGCTACTGTTCTTACACAGTGAATTAGGACTCAGGGAGAGAGCTCTGCTTGCCACTTCCTTCTTCTTTGTTGAAGTCTCTCTCACTCTCCCCGTGGGTTTCACTTCTCACTTCAGTTCCTTGCTGGGTCCTGGGGACCCACTCCTTTCCTTGTTGTCTTCCTCACATTGGTATATTCCACCATCTGGACATCAAATCTCGAAGAGGCTGTTTTCTCTGCTGTTTACCACTCTGCTGTCTTCCTAATGTAGTGTTTATGGGAAGTTCTTTAGTTCTTTTTTTTTTTTTGGTACCGGGGATTGAACTCAAGACCTTCTGCTTGCAAGGCAGGCAGCGGAACCACTGAACTAAATCCTGGGCCCTGCTTCTGTTTTTTTGAGACAGAGTTATTCTATGATCCAGGTTGGACTTAAAATCATGTTCCTAGCTCAGCCTCCCAGAGTGCTGGGATTACAGGTGTGTATTACCATGACTAGCAGATTATAGGGTTTTTTTTTCCCTCAGGAGAAACATCTTTTTTTTTGGTATTGGGGATCGAACTCTGGTCCTTGTGCTTGCGCAGCAGGCGGCGAAACCACTGAGCTAAATCCCCGGCCCTAGATTATACATTTTGATATGCAGAACAGATTTGCACATAGGTTGATGTGTGCCTGATTCCTCTCAAAAGGCAGAGTACCAGGACAGGATGCACTCAGGAAAGACCAGGGACCTCACTTTGGTCTGGTTTAAGGAGTAGGAAGCATTTGACAGAGTCCTAGACACTAGGAGTACTTTAAAAGCCAGCCTTATATTGAGGCACCCTGACTTTCTTCACTTCGAAAGTAGCAGTGCTGTGAGAGTTGGAGAAGTAATTTTCTTTTCTGACCTTCTTGCTCTTACTTAGTGGGTTTTTTTTTTTTTGACTGTAATGGGGATTGACCCCAAGGGTGCTCAACCACTAAACTAGCTCCAGCCCTTTTTAACTTTTATTTTGAGACAAAGTCTCTCTTTAATGTCCCAAACTTGAAATTTTCCTGCCTTAGCCTTCTGAATAGCTGTGGTTACATGCATGGGCTACCTTCCTGGCACATAGTGATTTTTTTTTCCTGTACCAGGGATCAAACTCAAGACCTTGTGCTTTCTTTTTTTTTTTTGTACCAGGGATCGAACTGGGGACCTTGCTCTTGTGAGGCAGGCGCTGGAACCAGTGAGCTAAATCCCCAGCCCCATAGTGATTTTTGATGTGATTCATAGATTGTTTGGACAGGTTGAAAGTGATGGGAAGGGCTGGGAATGTACCTCAGCGTTGCAGTGTCTGCCTAGGATGTGGGAGTCCCTGAATTTGATTTCCGGTACAAAAAAAAAAAGTGATGGGTAACATAAAATCTGAATTAATTGATTTCTTTCTCTCTTTCTTTCTTTCTTTTCTTTTCTTTTCTTTTTCTTTTGTTTTGTAGTTCAGGCTTATCTGGAACTCACTGTGTAGCCCAGGCTGGCCTTGAACTTGTGACTATCCTCCTGCCTCAGCCTCCTGAGTGCTAGGATTACAGGTGTGACCCACCATGCTCAGCTGGAGTGTATTCTTATAAGGAGAAATATGGAAGAAGGAAAGGAGAGGCTGTGAGAAAGAAAACATATGGATTGGAATATGTGGAGCTGTGTTATAAATTCCAGGGACTGATTGATGATCACTTTCATTTTCTTGGAGGAACAGATGAATGGGACATAGAGCTACTAATAAATATGTAATTTATCACTAATCCCTGTGATCTGGAGGGGCTAGCATGGTAGGCATTATGATCTCTGTCATGTGTAAAAAACCTGTGGACCTTATTCCAACAGTAAGAAAAATAGCTGAGGGAAAATCCTGAGCATAGTTAAATAGAGTTGAGTTGTATGTGACAGGAATGTGCATCGTCAGTGATGAGTGTTTTCAGAACAGTTTGGTGGATGGAGGCTATTCCAAGGCACTGGTTGGAGTCTCTAAATGTAAACTGAGCCCCAGAACAGCCCAGTAGGGCTCTCTGAAATGTCAGCCTGAAAAATTGGACATGGCCAAGAAGCTAGAGTGAGGTATGCATTTATGGTCTGTCAGAAGCTCCCAGAAGAATTAATATATTGGGCAAGGGTGAGCTACTGGGCAGCTTTTGATATAAGTCACTCACCAGAAACCATCAAGAAAGCCTGGTGACCATGGAGCAGGAAATCTTTTGACAAGAACATGAAGAATTCCATGAACATAGTAAAACCAAAAGCTGGTGGAATTTTATGTAAACTGGTAGCAGAGGTTGTGCTGGGGAGAATAGTGTTCTAGCCACCAACACCATGACCTGCAGGATAAGTGTGACCTTTCTGTAACGGTGTGGAGTATCAGATAGGTGAGGTACCTGGATAGACATAGAAGCATTGGGCATAAGGAATAGAAGTGATGGAAAAGACGTCATACAATACATGTATAGTTCTTCCACTTCAAATAATGCATTTTGTTTTGATCATTTTGTCTAAAGAGATAGGGCAAAAAAATAGTCTAGAGAAGAACAATGAAAATGGTAGGCGAAACTTAGATGAATCAAGGCAAGAGGTCTTGAACGAGATCGGGCACGTCAGGATGGTTAGGGTATAGACAAAGAGGACAATATTAGAATGATCCTGCAAAGGGTCACTGAGTTTGTAATTCTGTCTTGTGTGTGAAAAGTAATTTTAAAAAGTGACTGGCTAGTAGGTGTGTATGTGTGAGTTAAGGGTAACCAGGATCAGAGGATAGAAAGCTTTACAGCATTAAAATCATGACCTTTTAGGGTGCCTCACTATCCTGGGAGGAAGTTTCTTGAAGTGACTCAGACCCAACTCCTGCCCTTAGCATGATGTTTCCCAGAAATTATAAAATCCTCTCCTCTCCTCTCCTGCCTTCTCCTTTTCTCTCCTTCTGTGTTTGTCTCTGTCTCTCTCTGTCTCTGTCTCTTTCTTACCAGTATAGAGGATTGAACTGAGGACCTTTGCATTGAGTTACATTCCAAGCCCTTTTAATTTTCATATTGAGACAGGGTCTTTTTCAGTCAATAAATTGCCCAGGCTGAGCTTGAATTTGTAATTCTCCTGCTTCAGGCTCCCAGAGTGTCAGGACTGCAGGTGTGTTCCACTGTGTTGGGAACAAAATTGTTACTTATGCCTGCTTGCAAATTGTTCCTTTTCTTTCTTCCTTTTCTCTATTTATCCTAAAGGACTTTCCTTTCAATGTAGAAATAATGTCAAAGAGGAAAAAAAATATAGCCACTCAGTATTAACCTCTAACCATATACCAGATACTATGCTAAGGATTTTACATATCTTTCTGGGCATGTTGGCACACACCTGCAGTTTCAGCTACTTGGGAGGCTGAGGCAGGATGATACAAGTGAGACCAGTTTGGACAACTTTATGAAATGCTGTCTCAAAAAAAGAGAGTATTTTATGTCTTAATTTAAGTCTTACAGCAACCCAAGATAGAAAATACCCCATGTTACAGATGAAGAAATTGAAGTTTAGGTTAATTAATATATCTAACTTGTTATAATTAACAAGTAAGGGAACTAGAACTCAGATCTTTGCTTCTAGCCACCTTCCATTCCTTAACTGCTGCTAAAGCACATGCTGGTCTTGATAATCAAACGATCCATATTATTACCTAATGCAGTCCACTTTTGGGAAGGTAAGTGACTAGGACTTGGAAAAATTCTGCCAAGAAAACAGTGATCTGCTCTTTCTAACATTGCTGTCCTTGCAGCAGCACCTGATGGGCAGACAGCTGATGGTTTTTTTTCCCAAGGATCCACTTGGATGGGTTTGTGCCTGAAGTCTGTGGCACCAGCAGGAGTTGACTGTTGGCTATAGAGAGATATGTAGAGAGCCTTCCCTCTGTCAGTGCATTCTACGTCCTTGATTTGTGTTATGTAAAACCTCACATTTTGGCTGTTAAGAAAGCAGAGCTTGCTCTCTTGGTATTCCCAGCTGACATGTGAAAGATATCTTCTGATTAAATGAAGTCTATGTGGGGGGTTAGCCTTTCAGTTGGGTTTTCAAGTTTCTTAGTAATGAGTTTTCTTGGTAGCTGTAAAAACTGCCAGCTGAGAACTATTGTTCCTTATTTCCCATGGGTTGGAATTGGTGCCTGAGGTGTGAGGTCTGTCTCATATACTGTGGGTGGGTCGTGTTCAGGTGAGTGGGTCTTTGGTTCCTGTCCCACTGTAGGAGATGGTCCAGTTGTTTAATGAGTTTAAATATATGTCCATTTCCACATGCTGCCCAGCTGAGATTGGGTCTAGAAAACTAAAGAAATCTTCCGGTGCTAAAAGTGATAGAACAACTATTAAATCCCAGTGTCCTGACCAGATTGTTGCTTGGGTAATTATAACCTTTTTTCAGCTCCCCCTGCAGTGTTATTTGGATATCAGATCTCCATAAATGGGCTCTCTGGCTGTTAAACAGCTGCCACTTCCCACCCCCAAGGTGGCTTTGTTTTACGGGTGGGTGAGCCAGTCTTTGCATACAGTTTGTGAAATGGTAAGGGAGCCTTTTGGATGAGAATGTAAGTTAGCAACTCATAAATATGCACCTTATGGCAAAGAAGCTTTTATATCCCCCCAAAGACAGCTATCCTTGTAGATTCAGTGGGCTAGGACAAAGTGAGTTTTGTGGTGTGTTCACTCACTTCTTAGAAAAAAGTAAGATGGAAAGATGGGAGAAGTAGTGAACATATGCCTGAGCTAATTCAGCCTAGAGGAAAATGCAGGTAGACGAGAACTGGGGTGTGTGTGCGTGTGCATGTGCAAAGCATGCACATTGGTGTACTTGACAAATTTTCATACATGCGGAGAGATTTACTGGAAATGGGAGGAGTCAGCAGGCAAGGTGAATGGGCTGGGTATTGGGAATGTCCTGGTAGAAAGGCCTTACACAGCCAGGTGTGGTGGTGCATACCTGTGATCCCAACACTTGGGAATCTGAGGCAGGAGGATCGCCAGCAGTTCGAGGCCAGCCTGAACTACATAATAAGACCTCTACATATGAGACATAGTGAGGCCTTATAGAAGCTTTTTTGTGAACACTTTCTGAAATAGCTAATAGAGTTTCCTAAAGAGGTCACACTCACCTTGACTCTCTTATCTTGTTTAACAGTCTGTGAACCCTTATATTGTGAAGCTGTCCATCGTGGACGATGAGGCCACTCTCAATGTGAGTATCTGGATCCTGTGTTGTCTTGCTTGAATTCAGTGGCCTTACTTTCAGGGAACATTTAGAGCAGAGAGCTACTGTGCTGAATCATCTGCCTATAAAGAGTGAATGGGGGGCCGGGGATTTAGCTCAGTGGTTCTGCCACCTGCCTCGCAAGCACAAGCTCCTGAGTTCAATTCCCGGTGCCAAAAAAAAATAAAGAGTGAATTGGGGGCCAGGGATGTAGCTCAGTGGCACTGAACCTGCCTGGCAAGCACAAAGTCCTGAGTTTGATTCCCAGTACTGGGGGAAAAAAAAGTGAATTGGATAGAGCATCAGTGCTGTCGTCTCAGTGTTAAGGAGGGAAGGTTTGAGGTGACATTAGCTTGCTGATCATGATGAAGTGGTCGGTGTGCCAAGGCTAGCTGCTCTGCAGAGTTGGTTAAGTTACATACCCAAGAGGAAGAAAGCACAGGTGACTTTAATTTTTGGGAGGTTCCTTCTTGTAGAACCAGCTATATGGCATCTACAGCCTGCCTTGTTGAAGCTGAAACATGAATGATCATATGTATCTGCTGTATATAGCCTTAAAAGTCTGGAGAATAACATTTAATCTTTTATTTTTCCTTTTCTTTTTTGGTTTTTTGAGGCAAGGTCTCTCTATGTAGTTCAGGCTGGCCTTGAACTTGTGGCAATCCTTCTGCCTCAGCCTCCCCACTGCTGGGTTTACAGGCATGTGCCACTGTTCCCACCTCTGATCTTGAATATAAGAAGAAAGATGACCAGGGTCTGGCGATTTAGCTCAGTGGTTTCGCCACCTGCCTCGCAACTACAATGTCCTGAGTTCGATCCCCGGTACCAAAAAACAAAAAAGAAGAAGAAAGATGACCAGATGTCTCGCTTTATTTGTTTTCCTCTTTTTAAAAAAATGCACATGTTTCACCTTATGGCCTTACTTGAATTTTGTGTCATGCCTCACAGGTTCTGAGGGCATGTTGATAGGTCATGTTAGCATTTATTGGAGGTTTCTTTCTTTTTTTTTTTTTCCTCCTTTTGTTTTTTGAAACAGAGTCTTGCTATGTAGCCCAGGCTGGCCTGGAACTCACAGCAGTCCTCCTGTCTCAGCCTCCTGAGTGCTGGGATCATAGGTGTGCACCACCCTGCCTGGCTGCTTCTTCTCTTTCAATTCTTGTTTTCTTGCGGCCTAAGGGAGTGACTTGTTTAGCATGCGACTCAGACTCATCATCAATTTTACTGTGGCTGTTTCTGAGATATTTGGGGGCTTGTTGCTTGAATATTCTACCTTAATCTTTTCTTTAGAAGTAAAAACAATCCTAGTGAAACTGTCAGTAATCTCTGCTGGTTTTTTTTTTACCTTGTTACTCATTTTTAAATTCCATCTGTGAATCAGGGCCAGGGACTTAGCTCAGTGGTTTCGCCACCTGTTGCGCGAGCACAAGGGCCCGAGTTCAATCCCCGGTACCAAAAAAAAAAAAATTCCATCTGGGAATCTTAAGGAAGATAATTAGATAAGAAAAATCTTTCCAAAGAAATTTTTTTTGCTTTGACAGTGCCTCTTAGAATTTCTGTCCTTAGGATTAACTTTCTGGGGCCTGGACGGTGGCTCTAGCTTCCCCCTGGCTGAGTCAGCATCACTAGTAGTCCCGAGGGTCGCACACTTATTTGTTTGCTGTTTTTGCTCTTCTAGGGAATGGGGCTCGTGATTGCTCAGGCTTTATCTGAATACAACAGGTAAGCCCCGCTTTTTCATTTGAATTGGTTCAGTGGGTAACAGACTTGTTAGAGTTGCTGGGTAGAATCCTCTGACCCATCCTGGGCATGATCAGAGGTGTAGCTGCATGCAGATGTATTTGCAGTAGCTCAGCTGATGGCATTAGCAGGGGTTGTTTTTAACAACGGGGAAAAGTAGCCACCAGTTTAGTATGCATGTACAGTCTAAGGTATTGGGTACATTTTTTGCAGACTTTGGTATTTATTGCAAAGGATTTTAACTATATTTCTAGCTACAAGCAGGCTTTTTCTGTTTAGCCCAATTACATTTCATATGTAAAAAAAAGCTCATGAAGCACGAATTTTTTGGTACTTGCTCTCTCTTTTTTTTTATTTATTTGAGACAGGGTCTCACTATGTAGTTCAGGCTGGCCTTGAACTCACTATGTACCCCAAGCTCCTATCAGTGGTGAACAGAATGACAACTGCGGAATCATCAGCTCCCCTTTCACGTGGCCAGTCCATCCATGGCATGGTACCATGGCAAAGAGGTACAGGAAGGTCCCTTCACTGTTTAAAACTGAACTTTCTTACTTAGGAATCTGGACAAACAAGTCCCTACTCTTAGACTCCCTGCCTAGCCACTTCACTCTAATAAAAATGACCAGAGGTAGAGCTGACCAATATTATTATTTTTCAGTTTCCTGAGAGCTGAAAACAGTACTATTCTTTCCAAAAGTTGTAATACCTCTTCTGTTCTCCATGGCCAACTAGTAAATAACTTGGAGAAGACAATGAAAGTGAACTCATTCCTATTTCAAAGTACAAAGCTAGACCTTCAGGTATTTATAAATCTGGCATCAGTCTTGTCCTCGGTTCCCCTCCTTACGTCTTGGATTGCTACTCCACACACACACACCGCTCCCATGTACACTCTAAGCCAAGGCTCATCCAGGACCTCTCCTTTCCATACTTCAAACACCAGTAAACTAGACGCATAAGCACTTCTATACAAGAATCAAAATACCTATCTAAGATAGAAATAGCTTAAAGTAAGAGAAACAAGATATTAGCAATAAATATGTAAAAACAAAAAAGTATTATCCAAACATGAAAAGGATTGATACAAATCTGAAAGGACTCTGTCCAGTTTTAGTCAAATAAGTGGCAAAGAGGTAAAAACAAGTATACCTAGGAAAAGCTCAAACAGTAAAGCACTTGAGAAAATGCTAGTAATTAAGGAAATATAATCAAATTATCAGTTAGCAAAAATAAATACATTAGAAAACTCAGTATAGGATATATCACAGCTATAGTCACTCCACCAATGGGACTATTATTTCATGAAAACAACTAAAAATAAATAATGTTATTAATGCAAAGATAAAGTTGTACTATGTATAATAAATTAAAAATTTAAAACAGTCAACATATGGCATCCTAATTCAATATTTTTATATTATTAGTTCCTGTTCCTGTAGGGCTCTCTTCACTGATGGTTGCTTTTTCTTCTAGCTAAGTTTGGAAAAGGATCTGGTATACCTTAAATGAAAACCAGAAATGCCTTTAAACCTGGAAAAGGGCAGGCATGATCTTTTGTTCCTCTCTGGACGTTCTTTCTTTTTTTTTTAATGATATAGTTAAGTTTATTGAATTCACAGAAATAATTTCTCAGATCTATGCTGTACAGTGAAATGCTAGACTGACCTATGGGGGAAATCCTTACATTGACAGGAAAATATCTTCTAGCCCCCATAAATGAACTGTAATCATTTGCTGGGGAAGAATTCTAAAGCCACATGGGTCATGCAGTCATTTAAAAATACCATTTGTATTCACTTTTTTTCCAGAGCATAACAATGAACCCTTTCCCTTTTTTATACACTTTGAAATTTCACTTATATTAATGCTCTTTCCCACCCTAATCCACCCCTTTAACAAACAGGAATGAGGTTAAGGGGTAAGAAAAAGATTCTACATTGTTTCTTTTTCTTTTTTTTTTTTTTTGGTACCGGTGATCGAACTCGGGTCCTTGCGCTTGTGCAGCAGGCGGCGAAACCACTGTGCTAAATCCCCGGCCCAACACTAGACATTTTTAATAGGAATAAAAAAATCAGTAAACAGGGCCAGGGATTTTTATAAGTGAAATTTCTAGAAGCTCTTGCATCATCCCATGTTGCAGACGCAAAAGGAAAGCTTTTCTAGTGGGTTAAGATCACTCCGGTCATCTCCATTCATTTGGTCGTGCAAGGTGTTAGCTCTTTTCGCTTGCCGTATCACAAAGTTAGTCCACAGGAGGAGCTGGTGGATCCTGGTGTCCACCAGGACATAATGGAGCTGGTGTCCATTATGAGCACTGCTTGGCTTTCTTGGAGAGTTGGATCCTCTTAGATTGGGAGGTCTCAGTAGGAACAAGATCATTGCAATAACCGTCCAGGCCATCAAAGTCATAGTAATACTGATGCCATTGTCACCGGAGGGTCCTGGTAGCTCCTAAAGACATTCTGTATCCGTGCTACTTAGTAGAACTGTGACTGCCGAAACAGATTGATCAGCCTTCTCATCACATGTTCATGAGAGCAAACACATTCTTAGGGATCGAATCCTCCTTCTGGCATGATTGCCCAGTTTAATTTTACTTGACTGCCCAAATCTGACTAGGTGGGGAGGGTGTGGGCCAGGACCCAGACTTGGCAGAAAGACCGCCTGGGGTTTCTGGAACGCTGTGGCTCTGTTTGGATTCGGGTGACCACGTCACTGTCAGCCATGAGACCCGGATCTGCCGGCTCCAGCTGGCGGCGGCGCAACCCCTCTCTCGACTTTCTCACACACAGTTGGGTTTTGGGACTTCAGATCTGTTTTATTTCTACAAATGTTTAGCTCTTTGATTTTCTTCCTTCTCCTTCAAAAACAAACAAGATTTTTACTGTTACAGCCTTAAAGCAATTTCACTGTCACACTTCTCAAGTAATAGTCTGTTTGGGAAATAAATGGTTGAGCCATATGTCTCACACTTTTGCAGCTTGCTTCCTAAGTCTCTTCCCAAAGTAGCCTGGCATTTTGGTGCACCGTGCCTCCAGAGCAGAGGGTGCCTGAGCTTGCAGGGCAG